CCACTCCACGCGCGCGACAACCCAACGTCCCCGGCGTGTTGAGTCCGGCAAGCACGAGACGAGGGGACGACGAGATGACTAATTGCCCCCCTCCCCACCTCAAGAATGATATAAGCACTGTACAGAACTGCCCGCCTTACTCGCTTATTTTCCATGTCATTGTAAAGGCCTGATGATGAATGACCGAAAGCAGCTGTTTGCCAATACGACTTTTCAATCGTAAACGAAATGCGAACTTTCGCAGAATAAATAAGGTACCCAAAAGCATTTTTTGCAGAAACGGCACCAGAGACTACTTCAACCGGGCATAAAATACATAAATTTTATTAGAAATTTTGACCTTTGTTTTCTTTTTAAATGCCTTAATGCGTTACGTTACGTAAAATGCATTAATACTCTAAACATTCTTGACAGAGCTGACTTAGTGACGATCTCTTGTTACCAGTCTCCCGAAGGTCCTTAGCGTTAAATTACGAAAGGTCTTTAAGAAGCGAAAGAAAGCTTTGCAGTGAAACCGCCATTCTAAAATGTTAAACAAGAACGTTGTTTGACTTCCACTGTCAGAATACAAACAGATATATGTCAATAAGGCAAATTTTAACAAGAAATGGCTTGATATTGTGGCAGTAAGTCGTTATTTCATTCTCTAGACTAAGTTTCACTGCACACTAGAAATCGGAACAAAGATCTTATAACTGATCGAGCATTCTCAGATGTATAGCGGGAAATAGGACGAAAATCAGGCTGTGTTTAGTGAAGGGACCTCACAGCAATTAGTATAGGATGTAAGGAATGGATAACATCATCAGACATCCAACTAGAAAATAGTTTGACCAGTGTAAAATCTTATCACAATCAGCTATCGACTAGCAATAATAGCCACCAACCACAGATGAGAGCATGTGAAAAAGCAATTTTTTTAAATGAGCAGCTTCTCCTTTAGTTAGTCAGGAAAAATTACAGATTAACAGAAGTCGATAGGGGGGGGAGTATACAGGGCGTGTAACTTGCCAGATTAAGGACTGAGAGGTACGACAGGAACGTAATCCTCGGATTTAATAAATAACTATCTACAGCTTATCACAAAAGGCTCCAACACGAAATAAGGATACGAGACAATAAGACACGGTAACACGCAGGCGCGATAAGTAAGACATGTTATTGGGAAGAATGTCGAAGGATTGAAGAATTTGAGATACTTACAGTCGAAAAGTAACCTGAAGTGATTTCTGACTGGTAAGGAGATGACCGTTTTTCGACGACCATGCCGAGACATGGTTCAAG